ACCAAAACATGTATATATATATAACTATATATATATAAATAAACAATATTAGATGTAAATTATTTGTAAATCATCATCAAAACAAAAAGACCCAACAACACTCTCACATGAAGAGATTTAAATAAAAAACTTTAATTAATCTAACACATTAACCTAATCATGACTTGTTTTTAATAACCGCTATTTAATTTATTTAGCGTTATACACGGCTGATTTTCTCACCGTTATCTAAATTGCCAGCGCATAATCCACGTGATGGCACCGCCGAAAGCTCCTGCCCAGCACGTGTCATAATTCTACCGGTCCTTACAGTATGATTTCCTATTCATTCCTCCATACAGGATCGTTGGTCTAGAACAGTAGAAGTCAAAGCAGACGGGTAGTTTTCAGACGTGGATCCGCACAGAGATCCAGCAAACCCGACGCTGAGACAACCTAAACCGTCCGATCAGATCTAGATCCAACGGCCGGGATCTCTCCAAGGGCCTATAAGTAAAGGGGTCCAATGCCAGAGAGAGGCATAATTATTCGGGGGTCCTTTGCGTAAATTTTCCACTCGCTGATTTTCTCTCTGTCCGAAGTGAAGAGGAAGGGAAAGGGAAATTTGGCTCCGCTTTGATTTTTTTAGGGTTTTGGAGCTGCTCCGATCTCGAGATCCAGGTTTTGTATTGGATTTTTGGAGTCATTTCCCTAATTTTGTTGCGGCTTGGAGGCCTAGGGTTTGATTTGCTCGGAGCTAGGGTTTCGTTTTTATGTAGAATTGATACTGTTTCAGTGGTTTCCTTGGAGAATTTGGTACTCGATTTGGAAATGGTTAGACTAGGGCTTCAATTTTGCTTCAGCTGGTGCTTTTGTGATTAAGATAAAGTTTGGCTGCTACTTTTTGGGAGAATTGTATGAAAACGAAAATTTGGGCAGGAAAACCTAATTAATTCTTTTGGAAACCAGGAAAAGTTGCATCTTTATTAATTATTTCACCGATTTCCCCTCTGAAAAGGAATTAAACCAGAAAGCAAAGGAACGGATAGTTTAAGCCCTCGTTTTGGTTTAGGTTTGGACAATTTAATTATTGAATCACAAAGCGGGGAATTTTAATGTTATTTGAGACGTTTGATGGTAATGGAATTGTTAATATCTACAGATTTACTGGATTGACAATATGGCGCCCACTGTTCTAATAGAGTGTACAGAGAAAAGGGTGGTTAAGAGATCTTTCGCGATGATGGGGAAATCACAGAAGTTTTCGAAGGGCTTATCTTCTTCCTTTGTTCCTGATTACCGTCATGCGGCTGAAACCATGGAGGAATCCGAAGGATTTGGTAGCTCATGCCGTGTGGATTCTGAAGATTCTTGTGCTCCAAAGAGGAAATGCATTAGCTTGAATAAGGACACGGGCGACTGCTTCAATGTTCCTTTGCAGGTCATTTCTTTTGCCAAGATGCCTGGTTCAGAAAGAAAAGAGTTAGAATTGAGACTGAGAGCTGAACTTGAAAGAATTCAAATGCTTCAAAAAAAGTTCTTATCAATAAATGTACCAACAGTGTCATCCTCCAGTAACGGAAAGAAACTGGGTTCCAATGGATCACATCTCAAGCGTGGGAGTTCAGGGAGGTTCGAGTCGAAGAACAAACAACGACCTCAGCCACAGCCTACCACTGATAACTCCTATGCATCGATAATGAAGCAATGTGACTCAATTCTCAATAAGTTGAGAACACACCAGTTTGGGTGGGTTTTCAATAATCCAGTTGACGCAGTGGCTCTCAAGATTCCGGATTATTACACTGTCATCAAGCATCCAATGGATCTTGGTACCATCAAGAACAAGATATCTTCTGGTGCTTACTCCAGCCCATTGGGTTTTGTTGCTGATGTGAGGTTAACTTTTACAAATGCAATGACATACAATCCGCCCGGTAACGATGTCCACATAATGGCAGATAAATTAAGCAAATTCTTTGAGTCAAAATGGAAACCTATAGAGAAGAAGCTTGCTGCAACTGATTTATATGTTAGAAGAGAGACAGAAGCTCCCAAGCCAGTATTACATCCAAAGAAGAGGAAAACGTCTCCTGTAACTTGTAATGCTGTAGTACTGGAAAAGGTGATCCCTAGGGTGACTGCTGAGGAGAGGCAGCATTTGAGTAATCGATTATCAGCTATGCTAGAGGACATGCCAGACCAAATAATTGACTTTTTGAAGAGGCATATCAGTAGTACGAATGACTCTGGTGAGGAGGAGATGGAGGTTGATATTGACGCCCTTAGTGATGATGTACTGTTAGAACTGAGGGAGCTTTTGGATAGCTGTTTGCCAGAGAAACTGATTGTACAACATCCAAAAGCAGAACCCTCTGAAATCGAGGTATGTTTTTACTTGTTAGAGCTATTTGATATGTAGTTGTGTATGACAAGCTGCTATCCTTTTTCTTGTGCAGATTTTAAATGAATCTGGACTTAGCAATTCATCAATGCATCCCGGCAAAGGTTCCTTCTTAGCAAAATCACCTTTCATTAAAATGTCCATATTTGCAGTAGAAGGTAGAAATTATAGCTTGCAGTTCTGCTTCTGTGTGCATATGTGTATAGGCAATGAACCTGTCGATGAGGATGTAGATATTGGTGGTAATGATCCTCCCATGTCAAGCTATCCTCCTGTAGAGATAGAGAAGGATGCAATACATAGAGGTGGCAAGTGCAGCAGTTCAAGTTCATCGAGTAGTGATTCAGGCTCTTCTTCCAGTGGTCTGTTCTTGTTTCCTTGCCATCTGGCCAACACATCCTTTATGTTCTTAGATCATTTTGTTGTACAGTTCAGTAATTTTAATATTGCATTGCTTTTTTATTTAACTATGAGGATGAGGTCAAGTCAGCTCCTTGTAGTTACTTCTTTTCTTACCTTTGTCACTACTGACTTTTGAGTGTTTATTGCTTGTGACGGGAAACATGACTAATAAACACCAACCAAGTTATGTACTATATAGGAAGAAATAAAATACCAAAAAGAAGGTGTATCTCGGTCATCCGTATTATAAAAAGAGACATTTAGGTTGCAAATAACTGATGTAACCATTGACTGAAGTCATAATTGACGCAAGTTAGGAAATCTGTATATAGATCTAGACTGCAAACAACTCACTGGTGCATGATGCTTAAGAAATGAAGATGGGGTTCTGCATATTATTTATTGTATTTATTATTTTGTGTTTGTCAAATGCTGTTACAAGAGAAATCTATCAATAAAATCAATGAACAAAATTTATCT